GGCCAACATGGTGAAACCCTGTCTCTACTAAAAATACAAAATTGGGTGTGGTGGCAGGCGCCTGTAATCCCAGCTACTTGGGAGGCTGAGGCAGGAGAATCGCTTGAACCCAGGAAGTAAAGGTTGCAGTGAGCCGAGATCATGCCACTGCACTCTAGCCTGGACAACAGAGCGAGACTCTCTCAAAAAGATAAATAAATAAAAAGAATATCAGGTCAGCCACTGTGGCTTACGCCTGTAATCCCAGCACTTTGGGAGGTTGAAGTGGGAGGATTGCTTGAGACCGGGAGTTTGAAACCAGCTTGGCCAGCATAGTAAGACCTCACATCTACCAAAAAGCTTAATATTAGCCATGCATGGTGGCACGTGCCTGTGGTCCCAGCTACTTGAGAGGTTTAGGTGGGAGGATCACTTAAGCACAGGAGTCTGAGGCTGCAGTGGGCCATGATTGCGCCACCACACTCCAGCCTGGGCGACAGTGAGACCCTGTCTCCAAACGACAACAACCAACAAAAACCCCAAACCAAGACTTGATATCATAAAGGTCACATACTCTTAACTACAGCGCAATAAAATCGGAAGTCAATACAAATGCCACAAAGACCCATCTATTTACAACTACATAGCTTAACTTTGAATTGATATGAACTTGATATTAATTCCCAAAATGAGTGAAACTGGGAGGATGGGAGTTGATAAAAGGAAGGGGGATTTAGACTCAGGGTGAATACTGTCAAAGATTTTTGTCAGTCCTCCAGAAATTAATATACAAATTCCATGCAATCAGAATGCAAACAGGACTTTTGGAACTTTTGGACAAAATCATTGTAAGTGCATCGGGAATGCTAAACAGGCAAGGAGACGTCTGACATGGGAGCGCTAGTCCTGCCAGATTTTACATGACCAAAGCTATAAACCCCCTTTTTTTTTTTTTTTGAGAGACGGAGTCTCGCTCTGTTGCCCAGGCTGGAGTGCAATGGTGCAATCTTGGCTCACTGCAACCTCTGCCCCACCGGGTTCAAGTGATTCTCCTGCCTCAGTCTCCCAAGTAGCTGGGATTATAGGCGCCCCCCACCACATCTGGCTAATTTTTGTACTTTATGAGAGAGGGTTTCACCGTGTTGGCCAGGCTGGTCTTGAATTCCTGACTTCAAGTGATCCGCCCACTTTGGCCATCCAAAGTGCTGGGATTACAGGTGTGAGCCACCATGCCTGACCCGTGTCATTCTATTTAGATGAAACGTCAAGAAAAAGCAAGATTATAGAGACAGAAGCAGCTTAGTGGTTGCCTGGGGCTGTGGGTGAAAGCAGGGATTAATTAGGCAGTGAGCAGCCTTTTTGGGGTGATGGAAATGATCTAGAATTGGATTGTGATGTTTTGCACGGCCTTATAAATTTATGAAAATAATTGAGTTGTACAATTACAAAGGGTGAGTTTTATGATATTTGTACCTTAATTAGAACTGTTAAAATTGTATTTGTGTATACTAGCAATAAGCTATCAGAAACTGAAAATTAAGCAACTTTTTTTTTAACAATACCATTTAGAATAGTATAAAAAATGAAATTCTTTGGAATAAATTTGACAAGAGATGTGCAAGAACTATATACCAAAAACTACTCAAAAAACACTTTTTTACAAAAAATTAAGCCAGGCACAGTGGCTCACACCTGTAATCCCAACACTGGGAGGCCGAGGCAGGTGGATCACTTGAGGCCAGGAGTTCGAGTTCGAGACCAGCCTGGGCAACATGGTGAAACCCCATCTCTACCAAAAATACAAAAATTAGCCAGGTGTGATGGTATACGCCTGTACTTCCAGCTACTTGGAAGGCTGAGGCATGAGGATCGCTTGAAACTGGGAGGCAGAAGTTGCAGTGAGCCGGGATCGTGTCACTGCACTCCAGCCTGGGTGACAAAGCAAGATCCTGTCTCAAAAAAAAAAAAAAAAAGGCCAGGCGCGGTGCGCTCCATGCCTGTAAATCCCAGCACTTTGGAGCTGAGGCGGCAGATCACTGAGGTCAGTGAGATCGCTATTATTCATACTTGTTCTTTGAACCATCCTGGCTAATCAATTGAAACCCCATCTGTACTAAAAATACAAAAAAATTAGCCTGCATGGTGCAGGCCGCCTGTAGTCCACAGCTACCGGAGAAAGGCTGAGGCAGAGAATAGCCGTGAACCCAGATGAGCTAGCGGGAGCCTGAGATTGTGCCACTGCGTCCACCCTGATGACAGAGCGAAGAGCGAAACTCCATCTAAAACAAACAACAACAAAACACCACCACAGCAAAACAAAAGTGTTTAAAAAAATATTAAAGACCTAAAAAGCAGTCCACCCATGGATGGGAAGACCGCATTTTTTTTTTTTTTTTTTTTTTGGAGACAAGGTCTCACTCTGTCTCCCAGGCTGGAGTGCAGTGGTGCAATCTCAGCTCACTGCAGCCTCGCCCTCCTGGGCTCACGTGATCCTCCCACCTCAGTCTCCTGAGTAGCTGGGACCACAGGCATGTGCCACTATGCCTGGCAAAGTTTATTGTATTTTTTGTAGAGATGGGGTCTCACTATGTTGCCTAGGCTGGTCTCTAACTCTTGGGCTCAAGCAGTACTCCCCCTGGGCCTCCCAAAGTGCTTTGATTTCAGGTTGAGCCACCGTACCCATGCTGGAAGACTCAGTACTCTTAAGACAGCAGAGTCTTCCCGCGGTTGATCTATAGATTCAACACAGTCCTGATCAAAATCCCAAAGCTTTACTGTAGAAACTGGCAAGCTGATTTTATATTCATATGCAAGTGGGAAAGCTGGCGGAATGAAATTGGACCCTTATCTCAGCCCTTAGACAAGAAATCTACTCAAAATGGATGTAAGACTTGAAACTGTAGAATTCCTAGGAGTAAACGGGGCAGCTCTGTGACATTGGTCTGGACAATGAGGTTTTTTTTTCTTTTGAGATGGAGTCTCACTCTGTTGCCCAGGCTGGAGTGCACTGGTACAATCTCAGCTCACCGCACCTTCCGCCTGCCAAGTTCAAGCGATTCTCCTACCTCAGCCTCCTGAATAGCTGGGATTACAGGCATCTGCCACCATGCCCCGCTAATTTTTGTATTTTTAGTAGAGATGGGGTTTCACCATGTTGACCAGATTGGTCTCGAACTCCTGACCTCAAGTGATCCACCCACCTCGGCCTCCCAAAGTGCTGGGATTACAGGCATGAGCCACTGCACCTGGCCTTGGGTATATATTTGAATGAATTGAAATCGTATGTCAGATACCTACACTCCCATGTACCTCTGGGTATATATTTGAATGAATTGAAATCCACATGTCAGGTGTCTGCACTCCCATGTTCATTACAACGTTATTCACCACAGCCAAGACACGGACACAACCTAAGTGTCCATCAACAGATCAATGAATAAAAATAATGTTATAGATACACAATGGAATACTATTCAGACTCTAAAGAGAATGGAATTCTGCCAGTTTTTGACAACAAAGATGACTAGAGAACATTATGCTACGTGAAATAAGCCAGACACAGAAAGACAAATATCCCATGACCTCCCTTATATATTATGGAGTCCTAATTAGGGAAAATGAGTCAGGCTGGTGGGACCAAGGGAAAGCCAAAAGAGATAAAGCAGGTAAGCTACAAGCCTGCCTTTCTTCATGGCCCAGGACACATAGCCCCCTGCACAAATAACACAATCTTCCTGTGCCCAGTGATTGCCAGACCCTCAGCTAATAGAAAAATGCAAGTTAGCTCACTGCAACCTTGGCATTATTGGTACTGCACATACCCCTGTCCAGCACACAGCACAAGCACCATCCTACAAAATCCTCAGCAAGCCTTTTGTCTCTTTGCAGTCAGCTCCTCTCTCGCTGACCTGCCCATTGCACCCTTACAATGTATTTTCCTGCTTACTCTAATAAATTGGCCTTTCCTGACCTACAGCTGTCTTGGTAAATTCTTATCCCTGTGCCACCAGCCCAGATAGTTGTAATGACCGGCGACATACATGAAATCTAAAAATTGAAACATAGCAATAGAGAGTAGAATGCTGGTTACCAGAGGCTGAAGGAAGAGGGGCCTGGGATGGCAAAAGCGGCAATGTTGGTCAAAGGCTACAGAGTTTCAGTACGATGGGAGGAATAAGTTCTGGTGATTTAATGCACAGCAAGGTGACTATTGTTAATAACAGTGTATATTTCAAAATAGCTAGTGGATTTTAAATGTTCTCTTTGCAAAGAAATAAGTATGTGAGGTGATACATGTTAATTAGCCTGATTTGCTCATTCCACAATGTTTACATGTATTGAAACATCACACTCTACCGCATACATATACGCAATTATTGTTATTATTTTTTAGAGACAGGGTCTTGTTCTGTTACCCAGGCTGGAGTACGGTGGTGTGATCATGGCTCACTGCAGCCTGGAACTCCTGGGCTTACACAATCCTCCCACCTCAGCCTCCCAAGTAGCTGGGACTACAAGCATGGGCCGCCACACCCAGCTAATTTTTAAATTTCTTTTTGTAGAGACGGAGTCTCACCATGTGACCCAGACTAGTCTTGAACTCCTGGCCTCAAGGGATCCTCCTGCCTCAGCCCATATAAACAATTATTATTTGTCAATTTAAAAATAAAATAAGGCTGGGCACGATAGTTCATGCCTGTCATTCCAGGACTTTGGGAGGCTGAGGCAGGAGGATCACTTGAGCCAGGAGTTCGAAACCAGCCTGGGCAACATGGTGAAACCCCGTCTCAACTAAAAATACAAAAGTTAGCTAGGTGTGGTGGCATGTGCCGGTGGTCCCAGCTACTCCAGAGGCTGAGGAGGGAGGATTGCTTGAGCCGAGGAGGTGGCAGCTACAGTGAGCCAAGATCATGCCACTGTGCTCCAGTCTGGACAACAGAGCGAGAGGCCTGCCTCAAAATTAATTAGTTAATTAAAATTAAAATTTAAACATTTATAAAGAAATACAAAGGATGTAGCCAAAATGCTTTTGACAAAGAACGAAGTTGGAGGCGTGTATTTTGGTTTGGCTTTAGAAGAATGATTTTATGGTATTTCATTTTTTAACATATGTAGACTTTGTCAATTTCACTTGGAAATATATCCGTGCGGAACACTGGACAACTGTGTTACTTCCCTTCACCTCAGCATGGGCAGCTTCCCCCCCATGTTTGGAACTAGGGCCCTGGAGTGGAAAGGCTGAGATTCCAGGCAGCCTTGATCAATTCCTGTGTGCAGGCCCATCCACGCCTTCCTGGCCAGTTTGCGGCGTGGGTTCAAGCCACATCCCTCCCCCTGGATTTGGGTCTCCTACTTGTGCTGCCATGGGTTTCGCCTGGCAGAGCCCTGAGGATTTGAGCTGTGTGTCTTCCTCAGGGGTGACATTGGTTTCGCCGCCCCTGCCCACCGTGGGAGTGACGGCCGGGGGTCCCCTACCTGCCCGCTGTGAAGCAGCTCCCGTTAGCAGCACCGATGGTTGAAAATGCCACAAAAAGTGGAACGACCCAAGACGCTGGATAGAGAACACGGTCACCAAACGTCTGTGAGAGAAGCGAGATGAGTCCTGAGGGTCTTCTCGGCCTCCTAGAGCGGCCAGCCCCCAAAAGCTATTCTGGCCTCCCAGGGGACCCAGGGACCCACCTCGCCTCGGGGCACAGCCTCTGACTTCTCCACTGCAGAGGAGAGAGGAGAACGCCACTCACCTACCTCCAGATATTGTGATGGCAAGAGAAATCTCTTACCCACTACTCCCTGGCATAAAATCTATCTATCTATCTATCTATCTATCTATCTATCTATCTATCTGTCAATTAATCAGACGGAGTTTCGCTCTTGTTGCTCAGGCTGGAGTGCAATGGTGCGGTCTCAGCTCACTGCAACCTCTGCCTCCTGGGGTCAAGCGATTCTCATGCCTCAGCCTCCCAAGTAGCTGGGATTACAGCCACGTGCCACCACACCGACCTAATTTTTATATTTTTAGTAGAGACGGGATTTCACCATGTTGGCCAGGCTGGTCTTGAACTCCTGACCTTGTGATCCGCCCACCTCGGCCTTCCAAAGTGCTGGGATTACAAGCATGAGCCAACATGCCCGGCCAAATCTTTATTTTTTAATTTGATTTTTTTGGAGACAGGATCTTGCTCTGTTGCCCAGGCTGGAGTGCAGTGGCGTGATCATGTCTCACTGTAGCCTCAGCCTCCTGGGTTCAAGTGATCCTTGGCCTCAGTCTTCCAAGTAGCTGAGACCACAGGCACTCGCCACCACACCCAGCTGCATAATTCTTGGTCATTTCAATATCCTGACACCTTCACCCCTCACTTCCCCGAACCCCCACTCCAACTGGAATGGCTGAATTCTCCCTCCCACCTTAGCAGCCCCCAGTCTCGTGGTGACCTCAATGCTTATCCAAACTGTGTCTCCTCCACCTTCTGAATTCCCAACACTTGGTTGTCTGTTTGCAACCGCAGGAGGCCCCCAGCCACCTCTTCACTGACCCCAATGCCTCTCACCTCTCAGCTTCTATGATTCATTATTATTTAGGGTGGTGCAAAAGTAATTGCCAATTTTGCCATTGAAAGGAATGGCAATTACTTTCGCACCAGCCTAATATAATGACCTCCCCCGACTCCCTGGCACTTTCTGCCTCTGCTTCATGCTTGCCTGTCAAACCCTCACCCTGGCTAGCCCAGCCCTGCCTCCGACTCCATGCCGTGCATGCCCAGTCCATGCCCCCGTCCGTGAATATCGCCCTCCTTCCCTGGGAGGAAGCTCACCTTCAGTGCTGACACCTGCCTTACCCCCTTCCCACAAGCCACAGCCCGCCAGCAGCGATGTCCGAGCACTCACCACGGCCACGGCCTGGGACTGCAGGAGTTCGGTGGCAGTCATCACGGTGAAGTAGGACACATTTATGAGGATGTAGCACACCGTCACCAGGGGGATCCCGATGATAATGGCCAAAGGCAGGTTTCTGGGAGGGGCAATGACACGGAGACCCACGTTCAGACCACAGCCTCCTGTGGGAGATGGACGCCCTCCCTGAGGCCCTTCCAGGGCGAAGATTCGCAGGTAGCAGAGCCCCAGCAGGAACATGAGACATTTTCAAATGGGAATGCCGCCTCTCAGACTCCAGAGCAGTTCACATGGAACTGTTTATAAAGCAGAATAAGCCAGAGATAAAGGAAGACCAAGCTCCTCCCTCCCTTAGTAGCCACTGCTCTGCCCCAAACCAAACCAAGCTCTAAACGTGCATAGTGAGCTCATAAGAAACCATTTGCTGGCGGGGCGTGGTGGCTCACACCTGTAATCCCAGCACTTTGGGAGGCTGAGGTGGGCGAATCTCTTGAGGTCAGGAGTTCAAGACCAGCCTGGCCAATATGGCAAAATCCCATCTCTACTAAAAAAATCCCATCTCTACTAAAAAAATACAAAATTTAGTGAGCTGAGATTGCACCACTGCACTCCAGTCTAGGCGACAGAGCAAGACTCCATCTCAAAAAAAAAAAAAAAAAATCACTGTCGGGAAGGACATCATGGAATAACCAGGGAAACAGCTCCAGTCTTCACCAGGAGAAGAGAAATCAGCCTGGCCGGCTACTGTCCCCTGCACTGATGGAGCTGTTACCTGTAAGGGTTTCTAAGTTCTTCTGTGATATAATTGAGTTGATTCCTGGAAAAAAGGAAAGTAACAAGCATCACACACCTTGACTTTCTTTTTCCAATATGAAACCCACAATAGTAAATTTTGGCTTCATTTAAGATTCTCTACCAGAGAAAAAAATTCTTCTGCAGAAATTCCAGGTGAATTTCTTTCCAGGTTAATGGCCCTGCTAGTGGTGGGGCCTGGGGTCCTACCCAGACCTACACATCTGTCAGCTGGTTGAGTCTTTGCCCTCCTTGGGAATCACATGGATTTTCAAGAATAATCAGGAGTAGTGAGTCCCCAGGGGGCTTTGAAAAAATGGAATATTCCTTTGTCTGAAAAGGGAATGAAATCTATAAATGCTTTGCAGGAGAGAAGGACCAGCATTATAGACGGTCACGCTTCTTCCTTAAAGGACAAAAACGGGCCAGGCATAGTGGCTCACGTCTGTAATCCCAGCAGTTTGGGAGGCTGAGGTGGGCGGATCACTTGAAGTCAGAAGTCCAAGACCAGCCTGGTCAACATGGTAAAACCTCATCTCTACTAAAAATACAAAAATTAAGCGTACGTGGTGGCAGGTGCCTGTAATCCCAGCTAGTCAGAAGGCTGAGGCAGGAGAATTGCTTGAACCTGAGGGGTTCGAGCAATTGCAGTGAGCCGAGATTGCGCCACTGCACTCCAGCCTGGGTGATAGAGTGAGACTCCGTCTCAAAAAAAAAAAAAAAAAAGACAACAAAGTCTCATCCACTAAACCCGATAAATACATAAAATGTATATGATATTATTTATTTTTGTAGGGCAGCCTCCCAACCATAATAGGTTCAAAGAGGCTCCCAATCCTAATGATTTTCAAGGTTCAATAGAAGAGCTATTGAGTATTCTTTGTTTAATCAAGAGCTTGAGGTGGGACACGGTGGCTCACGCCTGTAATCCCAGCACTTTGGGAGGCCGAGGAGAGAGAGCTGCCTGAGTGCAGGAGTTTGAGACCAGCTTGGGCAACATAGAGAGACTCTGTCTCTACAAAGGATAAAAACAAAAAATTACCCGGGCATGGGAGCTCCTATCTGTAGTCCCAGCTGCTCAGGAGGCTGAGGCGGGAAGCTGGCTTGAGCCCAGGAGTTTGAGGCTACAGTGAGCTATGATTATGCCATTGCACTCCAGCCTGGGTGACAAGTGAGATCCTGTCTCTAAAAAAACAAAAAAAAGAAACCGAAACAAAACAGAAAAGCCGAGCTTGGGCCCTGGTTGCGTCTAACTGGCCTGAGCCTCTGTTGGCCCGGTGGGTTCCGCACAGAGCGCTCTGGCTGGCTGAGCCGGAGTCTCTGAGAATAAAGGGTAGAGGTTGTCGCATGCTTCACAAAAAGGAAATGGGAGGGTGAATGTCAAGGTCACACCAAACCCCAGAGAGGGGAACTCATTGCTTTCCATGACAGGTGGAGTTAAAGTCGCCTGGAGAACCCCACCCACCCCCAGGCTCGGGACATCTCAGGACGCCTCACCATCCATCGTAGGCCCAGAGTCCATTGTAAAACGCCAGGCTGATGGCTCCCACAGACAGCTGGGCGCCCTCGAAAGAATTATCAAAATTCTTTGTGTTTCCTGTAATGAAGCCAGACAGTGAACGGCGGGTGTCAGCCGGCCAGATCTTGAGTGCATCTCCACGGGAAAGACAGGCATGATTGTGAACCCAGCTTATTAAACACACCCTGCAACTAAGGATCCCTCCCACTGAGTTCCTGCCACGCTTCCTTGGCGATGGGCTCGTGGGGCAAGGCTGCTCCACTCCCAGTGGAAGGGGGTTTGGTGTGTGCCCGTGCAGGGCCCGCCCTCCCGTGGGTCACCTTGGGCCAGGAGCACGAGCCCGCTGATGATGATGATGGCTACGATCACCAGCTTGGCCGCAGTGAAGATGTTCTGGACGTAGCTTCCCAGCCGCACGCTCAGTGAGTTCACCGTCGTGATGAACACTGGAAGGGTGGGGGGCCAGTTTTCTGCATCTTATGGTCTTTCACCCACAAAGCCCTGGAGAGACGTCTCCTTTCCCGTTTTCTATATACTTTTTAAACTTTTTATTTAATTTTCTGTTTTCTTGCAGTGGCAGTCTCCACTGCCTGTCACCCAGGGCCTGCGAGAGCCAGTGGCCAATGATCTCAGCTCATGCATTCAGCCATATCTCTGGCCTCCCTCGGTTGCCAGGCAATTCTCCTGCCTCAAGACGCTTGAGTAGCTAGGACGCACTAGCGTGCACTACCGATGACTGTAATTTTTGTAATTTGTGTAGAGAAGCCTTGTCTGGAGGTTCTAGAGGGGCGGCGGGGCTTTACTCATCATACCCTTGACCGAAGCCAGTACCTCCTCTATCGGGATGCGGTCCCATCCTCTTTGACCCAAGCACCACCAGCCTTCTCAGAGGATGCACGTGGCAGCAGATTGAGGGATGGAGAGGGGACCCAGCCTAGCCAGCCAGATCACCTGAATCCAACCCTGGCGAATCAGAGGGCCGACACCGTGTGTCCCTGGCCAGATTGACCCCTCACCATCCATGATTTTTCTACATTTTATTTTTATTATACTTTACTTTATTTGAGGTGGAGTCTCACTCTCTGTCATCTAGGCTGGAAGTGGCAAACGGCAGCAGTCTCAAGCTCACTGCAACATCACGCTCCCCGGGTTCGCAACGCAACTTTCCTCCGTGCCTCAATCTACCCAGTAGCTGCTGGGATTATAGCACATGCTCCCCACCAGCCCGCCCCAGCCCCTACCCCACCCTGCTAATTTTCTGTATTCCCTTGAACTAGCAAATCGGATTTTGCCACGTTGGCCAGGCTGGTCTCAAACTCGTGACCTCAAGTAATGCACCCGCCTTGGCCTCCCAAAGTGCTAGGATTACAGGCGTGGGGCACCACACCCAGCCTCTTTTATTTTATTTTTTGAGACAGGACCAAGGCTCAAGTGATCCCCCCTCCTCAGCCTCCCAAGTAGCTGGGACTCCAGGTGCATGCCACCACACGCAGCTAATGTTTTTATTTTTTGTAGAGGCAAGGGTCTCACTGTGTTAACAGGGCTAATCTCAAACTCTTGGCCTCAAGCGATCCTCCCACCTCAGCCTCCCAAAGTGGTGAGATTCCAAGCATGCTAATTTTTGTATTTTAGTAGAAACGGGCAGCATGCCTGCTGCCCACCCCAGCTCCCCCATCAGCCACCACATTATCTCCCAAATTCCAAGAGGGCAGATCCCAACCTGGGAGTTTAAGGACCTTTTAAATGAACCTGGAGATGACCTTTGAAATTTAGCCGGGCTGCCTCAGATGGCGAAAAATTATCAGGGCATGGTAAGCAGCGTCTGGAGTAGCTGGGATTACAGGTACGTGCCACCATGCTGGGAGAAGAAGCTGGGCCCTGAGCCACGGCTCTGCCCTGCAGGACAGCCAGCGGTACCCCTCCCTGCAGCCCCCACGGGCCTGGGGGTCCCCAGCGTGCGGCACCCACAGGTACCGCAAAGGCTGACGCCAGGCCCTGCCTGGCCCCTCGCCAGAGACTCTAGCTCACTGGGAAGGAGCGGAGGGCGGGGTCCCCGGACACCCTCTGTGCCGGGTCTTTTCTGACCCCGCCCTGGGCTTGGGTACTCACAGATGGCGGCAGCGGCCAGGCATTTCACAACAATTACAGGAGGTTTGCAGCCCACGTAGAAGGGCGTGCACACATACTCGGAGAAGCTGAGGCAGATGATGGCGAAGGACGAGGGCTTCATGACCACCAGGCTGACCCAGGAGAAGAGGTAGGCGGGGATGGGCCCGTAGGCCTCCATCAGGTAGGGATACTCGCCCCCTGACTTGGTGATCATCGTGCCAAGTTCCGCAAAGCACAGGGCGCCTGGAATGCAGAGAGGAAGGGCCCATAGGCCCCTTGTGAGGCACTGCTCTGGCCCCAGGGAGCTTTCCTCTCGCGGGGGGCTGTGCTCGTATGGAGGGGCTCACCGTGGTCCGCCCTCACTGGACGGCCCTGAGCTCCAGCTGTTGGACATTCAGTCCAGCCTGATTTACACCTGTTTGCCACACATGTGCCAAGAGGGACACTGGCAGGGTGAGGGCTGAACAGGTAGCGCCTGCCTAGCGTGCCCCTGCATGCTTTGGGGGCTGCATCAGGGAGCCAAGTCTCTTTACCCAGCATCGCGAGGACCCCGCAAACCGCCCATATGATGAGGCAGGGCCCCACAGCTTCCGTGTTGCTGAGCACAGACTTGGGGGAAATGAAGATCCCAGAGCCGATGATGGTGCCCACGATGATGCAGATGCCACTGATGAGGCCCAGCTAGGTGTGGAGGAAGGAAGAGCGTGTTAGTGCCACGCCTGAACCCAGCCCAGAAGACCAGGTACCACCCTGCGTTGGTATGGCCAGGGCAGCCCCAGCCAAAGCCCATGCTCCAAGCGCTTCCACCCCAAGCGGCTGCCCTGGCAACACCGGGGCACGGCTCCCGGAGCTTCGCTTATGTTAACGTGATTAATTCTCGTGACAGCCCCATGAGCTGGCCACACGGTACCACCCCCAAGGTACAGAGGAGGACACTGGCCCAGGTTCCGTGCGCCTAACCATGATCCTGTGCCCTCAATGAAAAGACTGACTTGGCGACAGCTTGCCAATGAGAAGGGCCCTCGGGATACGCCTCTAAGCTGGGCAGAGGAGAAAGGAGTGCACCACCAAAGCAGAGGGAAGTCAGGGCCTAGAGTCCTGGCCAGAGGCTCCATGCAGGGTGAGCAACAGAGGCCTCCCAGAAACAGAAACATTCGGGGACTGTTAACTTTCTGGGTGCCATTTTCTTTTATCTTATTTTTATTTACTTATTTATTTAGAGTCAGATCTGTCACCCAGGCTGGAGCACAGCGGTGAGATAATAGCTCACTGCAGCCTCAAACTGCTGGCCTCAAACAATCCTCCCAACTCAACCTCCCAAAGTGCTGGGATTGCAGGCGTAAGCCACCATGCCTGGCCCAGTGCCATTTGCTAGGATGTGAGCTTTCTCAGAACAGAACCCAGCTCAAAGAGACACCGGATGGTTCCATGCCTGTGAAGTTCAAGAACAAGTGAAACGAATCCACAGCGACAGGAATGCAGGGCTGGGGCCCTGCCCAGAAAGGGGCAGGAGGGAGCTTTCTGGGGTGGTACATCTGTCAAAACTCACCAAACTCAGCACTAAAGATCTGTACATTGTCGGCAGTGTGTGGTCATGCCTGTAATACCAGCAGCTTTGGAGCGCTGAAGGCGAGCCGGAGTGTCCACCCTGAGTCGCAAGTGTCGAGACCAGCTGGGCCAACACAGAAAACCTGTCTCTACTAAAAAATACAAAAATCAGCCAGCATTCTGTGCCACGCCTGTTCCTAGCTACTCAGGAGGCGTGAGCAGGAGAATCTCTTGAACCCGCGAGGCAGAGTTGCAGTGAGCCACTGCACTCCAGCCTGGTGACAGTGAGACTCTGTCTCCAAAAAAAAACCCTGCACATTTCACTGTATGTAAAGTTACATACCAATCAAGGAGGAAAAAAAAAGTCCAACTCAAGCCCTACTCATAACACCTGTCCTCAGAAGCAGCCCCCAGCCAGATCTCCAGAGCCTGAAGTTTCCAGGGCCTGTGTTCACCTGTCTGGGAAGAGGCTGGGCTTGGAGTCAGATCGCAGGGGATGAAGGGCTCCCAGCTGCAGGCTGCCACCCTGGGGACTCAGCGCACACCAGCGGGATCCCTGGGGAGCAGCGTCAGCTTTCAGGGCCAGGACGCACTTCCAGGACAGGGCTCAGCTCTCCTCCTCATCTCAGCCCTGTTTGGCTCCAGAATCCTCCCTCCTGCTGAGGGACTGCCTGGGTTCTGATGTGGGTGAGGCCTGCATTCACCCTGAAGCTGCCTGACTGAGGGGTAGACCCAGCTCAGATTTTCAGTTTTTAGAGTCAGGGTCTTGCTCTGTCACCCAGGCTTGGAGTGCAATGGTACGATCATGACTCACTGCAGCCTCGATTTCCTGGGCTCAAGCGATCGTCCCTCTTCAGCCTCCCAAAGTGCTAAGGTTACAGGCGTGTGCTGCCACACCTGTCCCCAGCTCAGAAGACACATCTGGGGATTTCTCAGCTGTGCTCTGTGGCCACTGGGCCCAACAGGGTTCCAAGAGGCCCTTGCTGAGATCAGGCCTGAGACTGGCTGAGAGGGAGAGGGCTGCAGCCCATCGTCTACCTCCTGGGGACCCCAGTCCCAGGCCAAGCCATTCAGGCCATTGCCAGCCCCCTGGTCAAGTCCTAAAGCCTTGGTGCGGTCCCTCCTCCATCCCCTCTGCTGCCAGGCATGGGAGCTCTCGGAGGCCCCACCCACACCTCTGCCCCGGAAGCGGAAACCATCCTGAGCTTGCCTGGGGCTGCCTTTCCTCCTCCTAGGAGCCTGAAGCCCTCCCCGCCCCTCCATGCTCAGCACCTGCTGCTCCCAACTGCGTGGGCCTGCCGTGGTGCCGTGTGGAGCTCCTTTCTGCCTTCCCCACAGCCCCAAACTCCCTTCCCCTCCAGGCCCAGGGCCAGCCCCAGCTGCTCACTGCACCCCAACTCAGAGCAGCCATCCCTGGTAGATGCCTCTAAGACAGAACAGGCTATGCTGGGGGCAGTACTTCCCCTTACTACAGCCATTCAGACATAAGAGGGACAGGCATTTAGAGGGGACTTAACCATCAGAGCGCCCTCTCTGGCTGGGCACAGTGACTCACGCCTATAATCCCAGCACTTCGGGAGCCCGAGGTGGGAGGATGGCTTGAGCCCAGGAGTGCCAGACCAGCCTGCGCAACACAGCAAGACCCTGCCTCTACAGAAAAAATTTTTTTGAAAAGTTAAAAATTTGGCAGGGCATTGTGGTGCACCCCTGTAGTCCCAGCTACTCTGGAGGCTGAGGCAGGAGGATCACTTGAGCCCAGGAGGTCGAGGCTGCAGTGAGCCGTGATTGTACCACTGCACTCCAGCCTGGGTGACAGAGCAAGACCTTGTCTCTAAATTTTTTTTTTTTTTTTTTTAATTTTTAAAAAGGAGGCCCTTTCTGACCATTCCTGGAAAGGTCATTAGTTTGAACAAAACTACTGGCCCCTCTAGACATTTGCCCAACACACAAAAGCACCCAGGTATGAACTTAAAATAATATGTGGGCCGGGCAAGTTGGCTCACGCCTGTAATCCCAACACTTGGGAAGCCAAGGTGGGCAGATCTCTTGAGGCCAGGAATTGGAGGCCAGCCTGGCCAACATGGTGAAACCCTGTCTCTACTAAAAACACAAAAATTAGCCAGGCATAGTGGCACATGCCTGTAGTCCCAGCTACTCAGGAGACTGAGGCAGGAGAACTGTTTGAACCCAGGAAGCAGAGGTTGCAGTGAGCTGAGATCAAGCCACTGCACTCCAG